CAACCAATGACAGTGGAGGATCTCGCTCATGGGAAATGTAATCTCAAGGTCAATTGAGCAACGTATGCACGCAAACACAAAAATCCAAAATGAGCACATTTTGTCATCAAAAGTGAATTCTGGAGATCTGACGTCCCAAACAAATCCAACTCGTTAACAAAAAGAAGTGCTAACCACGATCTTGACTTCACTCGTAGTAACAGAACTTAAGTAAGTAAAGTAAGGTAAGTAAGTAATCACTGATAAATGATGATGATAATCAGTGATCCCGACCGTAGCTGCTACCTTGACGTGGTGGTCGGGCTTGCCTATCGTCATGACCCAACCAAGCTATACTGGCTTGATCTTATGTTCCTGCAGGTCCTACCATGCCAGACAGGTCGATTGGAGAACGATGAGACTAAAAGCAGCTATTCAAGGTCTGAGGGCGAAGTCGTACTACTGACTGACTGCAGAGGGGTGTGACAGGAGTAAGGTGTTTCTCTCGGACAACCAGCATATGCAGCGATGCTGCCTTCTCACAAGCAAGTCAGGGGTTATAAAAGGTCGACTCTAAAAATGTCACACCTCACCCCCTACCTCACGGATTTCCGTCTCCGGCGGTAAGGGTGCCCACTAAGGGCCTTTCATAAAAAGGCCATACGTGACCGGCCTTAAGCAGTTATCCCTTGGACTCTGCTATCACGTACCCAGATCTCCAAGACCAACCACTAATCAATCTTCCTTTTGCAAGTCCCTCAAGAGAAACAACCTTCCACAATGTGTGGACAACCGGGAAGTGACCACCCCCCCCGCCCACATACCCACGAGACCACCAAATTGATCACATCCTCCCCCTTAACATCTCCACAAATAATTCTTCTCACATTCTCCCTTATCTGACTACACGGCTAGTATAAAACAATACAACTGATCATCATCATCATCATCACTAATACTTACCATGAACATGAACAACAGCAGCACCAACAAAAACAACATGTTCTTGATCTTGGATCCGTCATCAATTGATTTGTCCCTGTTGCTGTATTATTACTATTACTATTATTAGTTGTGGTCATCGTTGTTGTGGCAGTAGTCGTAGTAGTCGTAGTCGTATGAGTAGTATTAAAACTACGTCTTATTGCTGATAATTCATTGCCAAGCATTGATTGTTCTATAGTTTTATCGTCGAAATGTTCATTGGTATTCCGTATACTCTTATTTGTACTCATATTAGTATTACTATTACTGGTATTATTATTATGACTAGTTGGTAATAACGAAGCTTGACATGAATTGGTTGAATCATTCGGTACATTGATAGTAGTACGTTGATATGACATAGTATTAGTATTATTATGTTTTATGCCACGATTATTGATCGTTTTAGAATGGTGATTCACTTCATTTATATAATGTTTGAATGAATCACGTAGTATAGAATAATTTGTTAAACTATTACGTATTACTGATCTGAATGGTTGTGATTTGTCACCTCTATTCAATAGGATATGTTCTTTATGACTGGTTGTAGTAGTACTACTACTAGTAGTAGTAGTAATAGTAGTAGTATAGTGATGTTGACGATGATGATGATGATGATGATTAGTGCTAATCTGTTGTGTATTATTTGTAAAATATAATGAGATACGTTGTAATGATCCTCCGGTCACCGTATCTGAATGGGATCGATCGATTTTTGTACAAGTTTCGGAAGGATCAATGTTACTAACATTGTTATTATTAGTAGTATGATTATCAGTTTGTATTAAAAATGATTTGTCTGTATAATTATTCTCATTACATGTGTTTTCACATAGATAATCTAAACTTTGTACAGGTGTATTATTCTCAATACTATGTAGGCTACGATTTCGATTGTCAATATGAGTAGTAGTAGTGTTAGTAGTAGTAGGGATAGACTGAGTACATGAATGATTGGATTGTTGTAAATCCACACAGACATGTGGTGATGACGATGATGATGATGGTGATGAACATTGAACATTGGACATAAAATTACTTGAACATTGATTCGTTGTTAGACTGTGTAAATTGTCATGGCAGAAATTTGAAGGAAATAATAATTTGTTACTATTATTATTATTAGTAGTAGTAGTATGATTTGGATGGTAAAAATAAGAACTATGATTAGTAGATAAAGGATTATAAAATTCATGTTCATAATCGGTTAATTTACCCGGTGTAGCTGGACGAATTTCATAAGTTGAACATGATGGTATAGCGGATGTGGATTTTTGTCGATTACCCATCATATTTGTCGAGATAATACTACTAATAGTACTACTCACATCATTATTATTAGTAGTATTGACAGGTTGCAATAAATTTAATTGATGTGTACAACTTGGCAGTCGATTATGACAATAGAAACATCTACTTTGATCAGTATCATCAATATCACGTAGACTAGAATAAGATGAGATTGGTATAGTGGATTTTGTTAGCCTATTTAACAAAAAAAATATATTCAATATGTTTGTTTAAATGAATTTGATATCAAATACTGTTTTCTAAAACCCATTTAATGTGCCGGCCACTTTCTATGAGTAGTTTTCAAAACAGACTGATTACATTTAATGTGCCGATATGAATCATAGGATTTACTGGATAGATGTTTAATTTAAGTATGAATCTTTGCGGAGGTCTACTCACAACTTGGGGAATTTCTAAGGTTACTTACTGTCTGTTGGGGAGGAGGGAGGCTTGGGTATGGAATTAGCGGTGCCATCTCATAGAAGACCAACTACAAGTTGTAGTGCCTCCACGTATATTCCAGTTCGCTTACATCTAACTTGGTTAAGCCCTTTCGATTAATTTATTTAACCAAGCCATTTGTATAGCAACAATTTGTATCTCTTGGAGTTCGCTCGCTAGCCTTCTCCAATTCGCCTCACCCATTCGTTCGCATTGTAACCCATGGAGTTGGCTCAAAAGCCTTCTCCAACGCGCTTCGCTTATCCATTCGCTTCCTTCGTTTTATTCACTGCTTCTCCGCTTCGCTTTGTGGTGTGTTTTGAATAAACGTATTCATCACTACGAATTCACCTTCTGATTTATAAATCGTCAGACGCTATTTAGTAACGATTGTCTGGACGAGTTAATTACCGAGCTTAAGAACACGCAGTAAATCGACACACTATAAAATGGTGTGTCTATTTTGATCACGTCGGGCGATGAACACCTAATCATAAATTATGGCTTCTTGAGTTAGAACTAAAGAATAACATTGAAGACCTGGAAGCATTAAACATCTATTTTGTCTTGTTATGAAACTCTTTGGCAGAGCATACGACTGGATCCAATTTCAATGTTCCGGAATTTCAGTATTCACATGCAAAACTAACGGTTTTGCATTAAATTCACTATAGCTAAGTACATGCTGAATAGTCTCATACTAGAATAAGACATCTATACATTGTTACCAAGTTTCCCAATCAATCAATCAACAGCAACTCAGAACTTCGTACGTATGTACATCACTTCAAGTAACCGTAGCACATTAGCACAGAGATGTAATTTCAATTTCAAGTGACATAGTAGTGGAGGTAGTAAAAGTATCAGCCCTAATCGGAGAGATTAGGGTTCGAAGATATTATTCAAGTAGTAGAATCTAATGAAATAAAGATAAAGATAAAGGCGATGAGGAATTAAAATGTTTGGGATCTGAGAGAACACAAAGAATGTATGTGATAAGTTCGTCACTTAGTATGCTTGAGGCTATCACGAGTTAACCTTAGTCGATAAACGCGAACGAGACAATTACCAGCGTCCAGGTAGGCTACCTTGAATCCGAGGCTGAAGTGAAAAGGCTTTGTAAGCGTAGAAAGTATATTCTACAAACACCCAACAATCACAACTCAATACAATCAAGCATACAACTCTCGTTTATTTATACATCATAGAAACGTCCTTGGGACAGTCACAAAAATAGCACACTAAAATACACAGCAACCAATCACAGCCAAGGATTTTCCTGGTGCGAAATGAAATCTCAAGGTCAAATGATCAGTCCATGCTGGCAAAACGTGAAAACCAAAATACAGCAATATCAAGCGAATTTTGGGGATCTAACATCCCCAACAGTATGCACCTGCGCCACTCCAAACGGTTTTGAGCCATTTCATTCAGGGTCTCGCGGACCCCAACTAGGTAGGTAATCGACACCTACCGACATGACTTAGTCCACTTGTAAGTGACTTGATGTTTTGGTCTGACCGCCCCTAACTTTCTGCCAACCTATTCCTACATCACAATCCTCCCAAATTTCATTCCTCTTTACTTATCCCGCCCCCCCTCCCATACTGAAGACATTCATTATTTATTTAATTGCAACAACAAACTTACTTATATTCAATATTCCCTGTATCCAATTGATTTTGTGATATTCTACCACCACTAACATAAGCAATTTCTTCATTACTACTTATATATCTTTCAGTAGTTTTATGTTTATTGTTATAATTATTATCGAAATGTTCACTTGAATCAACTTGAATAATAATTTTTGACGGAGCATTCATCCTACTCTCATCATCATCATCATCATCATCGTGATTATCATCGATATGATTGATTTGTAGACCTGTTTCATCGCTGCTATCACTTTTACCTAATGGTGGCAGTCTTCGTCTACTACTACTACAACTACTACTAGTGAACAATGTCATTTCAACATCATCATCATCATCATCATCACCATCGTCATCATTAACATCAGCATCAATATTATGATGATGACTTTTCATTAACTGGTCAGAAGATTTAGCTTTTTGTTGATTAATTCCTCCTGTATGATGTATGCATAAATTCTTATTGGCATTATGGTAATGAATAGTTTTATGTGAATCTGATAATCTGTAGGTTTGAATAGTATGATCAATATTACTATTATTACTGTTATTCAAAGTACTATTCTCATAGATGAATGACGATGTAGTAGTAGTAGTAGTAGTAGGAGTAGTAGTAGTCAATAGGCCAGATAAATTGGAGAATAATGTTGTCGTTGTTGTTGTTGGTAAATAGGCGGATTGAGTTAGACTGGTTTTGAGTTGACGATCATTATGATCAGTATTACTGTTAGTGCTGTTGTTATTGTTTGACGATAAATGACTAATTGTTGTTGTATTGTATAATGAAGTTGTACTATTTTTCAATAGAACAGTTGGTCCAGTAAGCATTCTACAAATCAATAATAACAATAAGAATTACAAAGTATTATTTAATATTGAACAAAATTGGCGGGTTTTTTATTTTTGAAATTAAAAACAAAATAATAAAAGATGACTAGTATAGCTGTTAGTGGGATATAGATGGAATTAAAGCATGACTAAGTTGCTGCGCGCTGATTGGCTAATTTCCTATCATTCAATCAGCGCCTGATCGATTATTGGAGAACAGGATAGAAGATTCTCGTATTGTTAGCTGCATGCTGGCTGATTGGTTAAATCTAATCTAGTCGATCACGTGAATTACTACTATCCAGAAGCTTTCTCATGTAAATGCTATAAATAGACTAACGTTGTATTTATTTTTGGCCTTCTTTGCCTTCGACTTCACCATCACCTCTGGCTTCTTATTTCCATTTAACCTTGGTATTTTGGGATATAATCTTTTCCTGTTCAACCGTGTTTTTCGATTCTTTGGAACTTGTCCAGTGTATTGTTTGTGGACAGAGAATACTAAGCAATAGGATTTAGCTCGGAAATATATATAAGCAAACCATTACAACAGTAGCGTTACAATAATAGGTGGGTATGGTATGTTTTCACTACAAACTATGTGATTGAGTTAACCGTGGACCAGTAGATATAACAAGTGTTTATTAACAGTTGTCTAAGAAAAATACTAAGGATCTATCTGTTGGTCACACACTATCAGCAATAACCTACTGTGAGAAAGAAATCAGGAAGAAGTGCTGGAGGTTGATAAGACAGACAATCAGGAAAGCAATCAACTGCGTCACAAGAAAAGCCCTCACTTGTAACCATCATGGTCAAACGAAAAGAGTCAGTCAGTCAGTTTCAACGTAGAACTTCGTACGTATGTACATCAGTTCATGTTGCCATACCACATTAGCACGGAGACGCCAATATCAAATCAAATCTCATAGTGATAAAGATAGTAGAGGTATTAATGATAATGAAGAAGACTAGGGTTCGAAGATATTATTCAAGAAGTATAATTCAGTGAGATAAATTTAGAAAGAGAAAGATAGAGATGATGAGGAATTCAGGACGTTAGAATTTCATAGAACACAAAGAGTAAATGCACCTGCGCCAGTGTAAACGATTCTGAGTCATGTTATTCAAGGTCTCTAACCATTGGTGACATTCGTCTCGCGGGCGCCAAACAGGTAGCCTACATCTATTAACATGACTCAATCCACTTGTCAGTGACTTCATGGATTTCTGCCATGTTTTGGTCTGGCCGCACCTAGCTTTCTTCCAATCTACTCGTACACTGCAAAACATAGCTCGTCGAGGCAGTCTATGGTTAGCCATACGTAACACATGTCCCAACCACCTCAACTGATGAAGTTTCACTACTTCATCTATTGATTTGCCATCCTTACCTAGTACTCGTTTCCTAACGACAGCATTGCTTATTCGGTTGTCCCACGATATACGAGCAATCCTTCTTAAACATCTATGATCGAATACTAGTAACGAAAAGAGTAAGACGGAAGAACACAATACACAGACATCAAAAAAAATGTACAGCAATTGTCTAGGACTCAAAGAAAGGCTGATCGGCGACTTATGCCCAATGATTGAGTTGTCAATTTTTCATTGTCCTACTAGATAATATCTTGAAGTCAAAAGGACTGGTGTGATGTTATTCAGAGTATAAGTGAAAGCTTTACAAGTAAGTTATCTAGCTTACAGAATATAATACAATCATAAGTCATGTGTATTTGTCACAGACTAACATATCAAGTTTAAATAATATGTTGAAATGTAGAACGATTGAATAAATACATAATTCAACTCTGGAACTTTTCATCAGATAACTTTGACATTTGAAGTGATAATTAGCAGAGTGAAACTATGTTTTTGAAACCATGAATCGATCAATGTTAGACCACCATTAGAAACCTGGAAGCACTACAAGACGGCCGTTTCGTCCAGGTATGGGACTCCTCAGTAGTGCGCATCCACGACTCCTGCACCCCGCAGGATTCGAACCCAGGACCTACGGTACTGTGCGCGAACGCCCTAACCGTTAGACCACTGAGCCGGTATACCATATCAGCACGTAACGGCTGTCCAGTGCTTCCAGGTTTTTAATGGTGGTCTAACATTGATCGATTCATGGTTTCAAAAATGTGTAATTTTACAATCTTCACAACCTCGTAATGCTAAAACTATATTATCACAATGACCTTCAGGAAATCAATCATTTGATGAGCCTCATTTCTAAATTCATTTCTATAATGTGCTGTTTACTCAAGCATTTCAGACCTATTTTTGTATAACGTATGATTCGTAATTGAACTATGTACAGTGGAGAACAAATCTCTATTTTCCACTTTCGTTTTCTGATTGTCTCCAGGATTAGGAAGAACTTAAAGACTAATCAACCTAAAGATCTTGGCTATGGTCGACATGACATTGGATATTTTTAGAAGGTTATCTATCTAGTTGGCAATACAAGTGAACTAATCAATAGTCGAGATTCCGATTGGGCAATACATCACGATGACCTTCAAGGAATCAATCAATAGAGATGATTGAATTTTCTGAGAAATTTTTAAAACACACTAATGTATTCAATTAGAGCAAAGTGAAACATTTATTACATATTTAATTTCGAATGTTGTAAAAACACATTTATTGTACTTGATGTGATTACGGAACGTAGTCAAAGGTAATTTTCACAGCTAACATACATTTATTTACTCTAAATAACACATTTAACCTTTACTCCTAATTCTACTATACAAAATCTTTAAGTTCAACAACCTCTAACATTCCTTTCCCTTCGATTAATTTTTCTGATTGGCTAATAAGTTGATCAAGGTCATCCGTCACCATAGTACATACAGTTTGACTAATAAATATTTCAAGTGTTTTATGTGTCAATGGCCATACTATTTCAAGTTCATTTAAATTCTTAATCATGTGAAAAAAAATCTTAATGGTTTCTCATGTAAAATTATTGTCTAAATTTAAAATATAATTAGGAGTCATAAATTAAATTGATGGATAAGTAAGTAAGTCAGACCATTTCTTGGACTATAGAATCATAGTTAATCAGTTAGTGAGTCAGTTACAGAGTAGAACTTCTTATGTAAGTACATCAGTTCAGGTCGCCATACACATCAGCACAGAGATATAATTGTCAATTCAAATCCCATAGTGGTAGAGATAGTAGAAGTACTAGCGGTAATAGAGAAGATTAGGGTTCGAAGACATTATTCAAGAAGTATAATTCAATGTTACCATAGCTGCTATCTTGTCATGGTGGTCGTGCTTGCCTATCGTGATGAACCAACTGAGCTATATTGACTGAAATGTATGTTCCTGTAGGTTCTACCATGACAGGTAGGTCGATTGGAGAACGATGAGAGCGAAATCAGCCACTAAAGGTCTGAGCGCGAAGTCGTACTGCTGGCTGTAAAGGGGTGTGACAGCAGCAAGGTGTTTCCCTCGGACAACCAGCATCAGCAGCGATGCTGCCTTCTTACAAGGAAGGAAGGGGTTAGAAAAGTTCGACCCTAAAAATGTCACACCTCACCCTACCTCACGGATTTCCGTCTCCTTGGTTAAGGGTTCCCACTAAAGGCTTTTAAGAGCGGAGCTAACACTCAAAAAACCTTTCATCAAAAGGCCGTGCATGACTGGGTGAGACGCGTATGAACCTGCACTTTTCGAGTTGGAGCAAACTGCAAGAGTGAAATTCCATTGTATACTGTGGTCCCAAAACAGCAAAAGAGAAGTCTTGATAAGCGTAGAAAGTATATTCAGCAAACACCTAGCAAGCACAATACAATCAACCACACAACTCTCGTTTATTTATACATCATAGAAACATCCTTGGGACAGTCACAAAAATAGCACACTAAAATACACAGCAACAATCACAGCCAAGGATTTTCCTGGTGGGAAATGAAATCTCAAGGTCAACTGATCAGCCCATGCTGGAAAACGTGAAATCCAAAATAAAGACATTTATCAAGCGAGTTCCGGGGTTCTTTCATCCCCAACAATTTCCAAGTGCTATTTTCGGACTTGTACAAATAGGGTCAATAACCTGTCAAGGTCACTTAAGCGATCACTCAAGATCTCATTTGTAGATCAGTTCAACATACATATTTCCTACTTTGCTTTAAACTTAAGCACATACCGGGGAGTATTCCCATGATTAAACTGACGGTTTAATTTGTATTTCAGTCTTCTGAAAAATCTAAACATTCAACAAAAGTTTTAGTTCATGTTGTCAAACTTGAACATCATCGACTGACAGCCTCACGCTCAAGACAATTGTTATGTGCCGGAGGTGATGACTTTTCACTGGGATTTCGAGAATTCCTTCACGAAACTCTAGTCATTGGCCAGTACATGACAGTCAGGTTAAGACTTTTAACTAAATTATTGAACAAACAGTGTCATTTGATTAGTAGCAGTACGCTATTATCTACATATCCAGTCTAATCTGTTACCAAGCATAACATTATCAACGAGTCACAGAGATTGATAATGCTAACTCATAATGGTGAACAAATCAGGAACAAGACCTCTGTCAACCAGTCCGAACACAACTAATAAAAATTAGTTGTGGAGTTCAACCTATGTCGGTGGTAGGCAGTTTATTTACCGAAGACAAAGGATGTGGTTGAGCAATACCTCAGATTGATTAAATTTATACATTAACACTGTTAGATGCCATCTAGAGGTTAAGCGTTTGCGCACGAGATCGAAGATCCTGAGATGAATTCCTGTGAGCAGGGTCGTGGATGCTCACCTGTAATGAGTCCCATACTGAGATGAAGCCGCCGTCTAGTACTTCCAAGTTTCTAATGGTAGTCTGACAATGATTGATTCATGATTTATTGGTTGCAAACTAGATTTCGATATTTACACTTAGAGATAGGTGGCGATTCAAGATTTACGATTGTAACTTAATACTGAAGGCCAAGTTTTTGAAAAAATATATAGAGATTTGGATTTAGGGTTAT